TGTCCCTCTAGCTTCTTCTGAGTCCACCAGAAAACTCTGGTCAGCTCCGCCAGCTGAATGTGTACTCTGCCCTCCAAATCAAGGTCCAACTCCATTAACAGTATTGGAGCGCTAACACAGACAAATTTCCCACAACATACTACAAAAGAACAGTAGGTAAAAAGATCCATAGAAGACAAGAAAATGTATGCAAGAAATGTCATTTCTCTAGACGGTGGTATTTGTCCTATAAAACACATGGACCTAATTTTAAAAAAAGCAGCCAGCAAACCAAAAGATGATTAACATTACTCACAGTCAGCTACCATTCCATACCTACTGGAGTGGTTAAAATAAGACAACAGTTTTAGTGATGAGGAGGAGAAAATTGGGACTATCAGCCATTCATTCCTGGTGTAAATTCAAAGTGGTACTGGTGCTTTGGAAATTGGCAGTTGTTCAAAAGCTTGTGGAGAGTTTCACTCCTGAGTATGTACCAGAGAAATGTTAAGTGAATTTCTGTAATAGTGTGACTTTATGATAGCATCTAAATCAAAACAACCCAAATTCTGGTATATTCAGAGGGTAGAATAGCAAAACAAAACAAAAACCACCCTGGAGAGTAGGAGTTGTTGAAGGCATTCTGAGTGAAATAATAAACACAGAAATGGTTGTTACCCCTGCCCCTTTGAGACAGTATCTCTTACTGTAGCCCAAGTTAGCATAGGATTCACTGTGTTCAGGCAGGCCATGAACTCAATTCATTGCCTCAGGCTTCTGGAATAGAAGGCTTGAGCCACTACACCAGGCAACAGGTCATGTAATGGTACAATTCTGTCCCCAGGAAATGCTTAAAATAGGCAAATCTATAGACAGGTAATAAATGCAGAATTTCTGTTAAAGGTAGGACAAAATTCTCTAAAATTGACTGATAATTGCATAATTTTATAAATATGAAAGCCTACAAAATTAGTATTTAATTTTATCTAGGGGAGAGAAAGATGCCTAAGTACACATTTTCTTTTGTGTGGAGGGGAATGGAAGATGGCGGGGAGGGGAGTAGTGTGCTATGGTCAGTGGCCAATGTGTGGACAGCATTTAGAAGTAAGTCCTCTCCTTTACCAAATGGTTCCTGGGTACTCTGACTGGGTTTGACAGGCTTAGTGACAAGTTCCTTTAGCTGTTGAGCCATCTCTTTAGCTCTGAAATGAATTTCAACAGGATATTGCTGTGTATCTTTGCTCTAGAACTCACTATGTAGACCAGGCTGCTCTTAAACTCACAGATCTGTCTGGGTCTGCTTCCCAAGCACTGGGAAAGGCATACACCATCATGCATGACTACAGTTTATTTCTTAATAATCCGTATCTGTGTGGGTATGTACGCAGAGTACAAGTACCCACAGAGGTCAAGAAGAGAGCATCATAGCCTCTGGAGTTGCAGGCAGTTGTGAGCTCCCCCAAATGGATGTTGGGAACTGAACTTGAATCCTTTGCATGTACTCAGATTGTTAACTGTTGAGCCATCTCTCTAGCCCCTTAAATTTAATAAAAAACAGGACTGAGGTTAGAGTTGAGTTGTTAAGAGTTCTTGTTTGCTTAACCTAAGTGAAGATTGGGATGTGAGAATGTGTTGGACACTAATCATAATCCTATAGGTGTAGCATATAGCTAATTTCAACAACCCAGAATATAGAAGCAGGAGAATCAGAAGTTCATCCCTGGCTACTAAACAATAGTCTAAGCTACATGAGATCTGCCTTAAACAAAAAATACCAGCCTGCCTCCTTTGTTGGAGTACTCTTTTTCAAATATGCAGGCCATTTTGGCTTATACCATTAAATGTAATGTTTCAGTATCATAGATCTGCAGGCTTTTATTTCTCCATGTATGTATCATTGGGAAACTACATATAAATGTAATTTGTTTTTTGGGGGTTGTCCCTCACCCTTTTATGGTCAAAATTAATGAATCATCTGAACTTAAAACATACGCCGAGACCAACTATTCCAAATCTTCCTTTTTATGGCCTTAAGTGTAAGTCTGGCAAAATTTAGAGAAAACATTCCCAGTAAGAGACTGCAGCTGGAGAGGAGGTGGTGCCAACAGCAGCGTGTAAGGAGAAAAAAAAAGAGTGAGCTCTCATTTCCTACTGGCTGAAATATACAGCTGTTGGTGACAGACGGCATTCTTTAGTAGTGACTTTATTTTTCCTTCACCACAAGCCAGACTTGTACTATTTCCAGCCTTGGATATTATTTAGGCATGCCCCCATTGCGTTGTGTTAGTTTCAGAAATTGTATCGTTCTCTAACTTGAAAAACAATTTTTGAGAGAGGATGACCTTGAACTTTTGATTCTGTTGCCTCCACCTGAATTGCTGGGGCTCCAGGTATACTCTACTACCATGCTGGAATTGAATCCTGATTGATAGTGCAGACACATTTTCTTTCTTGAGGGGTGGGAATGTAGACAAGGCTTGACACAGGGTCTCTCTGTGTAGGCCTGGCTGTTCTGGAATATACTGTGGCCTCAAACTCAGACCTTTCTGCCTCTGCCTCCCAAGTGCTAGAATTAAAACCACATTTTACATTTTCATTTGTTTCTTTCTGCATTTGCTGTCCAGCACAACAACAAATGTTATATAATTTTTTTTTAGTGTGCCAGAACTTCTTTTTGTTTTTTGAGGAGGAAGAGGTGGGTATCTAACCCAACCATTTTCCTTTGCCCTGTGTGAGCATATTTAATCACCATATTTTACTACTTCCTGTTCATTTTATATTGTTTTCTATACTGCTGCATGTTTGTTTTTCATGACAATGTTTCTTTTTACAGTGTTGACTGTCCTGGAACTCTCACACTGTAGACAAGGCTGGCCTTGAACTCCCAAACTTGGAACATTTTAATTTAAAATTATCTCTTGAGGGCAGATACTTTTCAAACCCCTCCTACAATGCAGATTCATGTGAGAAACCAAGTAAAGCCTTAAGGAAAATATTGTTTTGAAATTTATTTGCTTCTCCAGTTGTGAATATCATTATCTCAATTTGTGTTTGTAGAACAAATGTGTCATCCTATCAATGATGGTTGGATAAGACTCTAATACATTGCTTGGGAAGCTAAAACAATAGGCCAGCCTGGGCTTACATATGCAAGATCTTGTCTCAAAAATAGGGGAGTTGGGCATGAGATGGCTGAGTTCAATCCCCTGAACCCACATATTGGAAGAAGCCCAACTCACTCAATTTGTTCTCTGACCTCAAACACAAACACTAAATACAGAAATATAAGTAAAGGGGAAAACAGAATAAAGGGACAGGAGGAAGAGGAATGAGAGATCAGCTAGCCACCTCGAGTGACTAAACGAGGGCATCGTAGAGTGGCCTAGATACTGAGTTCTGTGCTATTTGTGCTCTCTTTACCTCTTGTTTATCTTTATTTACTTGAGTTAGGTCACACTATGTATCCCTGGCTAACTTGGCATATAGATCAGGCTGGTCTTAAATTGGAAGAAATCTTGGCTCTACTTCCCCTGTGCTAGGATTATGTGTTGGTACCTCACCACTTGCCACTATAATATTCTTTTTGTTTGTTTGTTTGTTTGTTTGTTTGTTTTTCGAGACAGGGTTTCTCTGTGGCTTTGGAGCCTGTCCTGAAACTAGCTCTGTAGACCAGGCTGGTCTCGAACTCACAGAGATCCGCCTGCTTCTGCCTCCCGAGTGCTGGGATTAAAGGCATGCGCCACCATCGCCCGGCTATAACATTCTTTAAAAGGTGGGGAGAGGAGGACCTAAGGTTCAGAGGTCTTAAATAATAATTTGGAAATTCTCAGTTGAGAAGGTTATAGAAAAAACAGAAATATAGTTTGTTTTTGGACCCAAGTTAAATCTAAAGCAGTAAGCTAAGTATTGTCACTTGGAAAAGAAATGCTGATTGCAATTTACATATAGTTTTCTTTTTCCTTTATTGCTCCATAGTCTAAGACATTAATTTTTTATAACATTTTGTAAAATTCTGATGTTACATGATACAGATTACAGAAATATGAGTACCTTAAATTTTCAATTTTGTTTTGTTTTTGTTTTTTAGTTTCTCTGAATTCCTGGCTGTCCTGGAACTCATTTGTAGACCAGGCTAGCCTGGAACTCAAAGAGATCTGCTTGCCTCTACCTCCCGAATACTGGGATTAAAGGTGTGCCACCACTGCCCAGCAGATTTTCAATAATGTATCTTGCGATGTTTGAGTTGGAATTATATGCCTGGGGTGCAGATTACTGTGTTAGTCCGAATGCAAAGTATTCTTTTGTATTCTTAGAAATGGTTATGTGGAGATATGAACCCAAGGGCCTTTCCATTGAGTACCAGCCAGTCTGCCCATTTGTTTTCACAAATTACCCTACTGATGCTTTATGCAGACTTTTGAAGGCCAGTGTTTCTACTAATTAGTGATTTAGATTTCATAAACTGATAATTATCTTTTTGTGCTGTTTCCGTGTATATAGGAAATGATTTATTGGTAAATATTTAAGGGTTATACTTTTTGAGGTAGGAGAAGGTGGCAAAAGTGAGCAGTAGAACCTATACAGGGTAGAGTGTACCTTTAATCCCAGCAGAGACAAGTGAAGTTAGCCACGTAGAGAAACCTTGGATTAAGCCAAAAAAGATGAAAAGAAACAGAAGCAAATATAGACATAGCCCTTGTCAGGTTTTATAAATTTACTTTCACTATATTTTGTCAAAATCTCAAGTATAGCCCTGGCTGGCCTTGCTTCTTCAACCTCTGTTGGGATTAAAGGTGTGTGAAACCATATCTGGCTCCAGTACATCTTTGTTGATTTTGAAATGCTATTCTGCAGTTCAGAGCAGAAGTGTCTAAGGTCAGTGAGATACAGTCAAAACTGTTGCATGATTTATCCAGCCTCCTACTTTTCTCAGGGCCCATTTTCCTTCTTTAGCTAAGTAATTTAATATACCATAGAAAATGGGTTTTAAAATAATTTTTTCCTGCACTTTTCGTATTTAGGAACAAGTTCCCGTTCCTGTCTATCATCCAACACCTAGCCAGACTCGGCTAGCAACTCAACTGACTGAAGAGGAACAAATTAGAATAGCTCAAAGAATAGGCCTTATACAACATCTGCCTAAAGGAGTTTATGACCCTGGAAGAGACGGATCAGAAAAAAAGATCCGAGAGTAAGTAGTGAATTTATATTTTGAAGATTTGTGTAGCTTTTTTCTTTTTGATGATACTGGAGATTGGACCTAGGTGTCCACCACTAAGCAGTGTCAGTGGTAGGAGAGAATTCTTTCATAACTTCTGAAAGGAATTTTTTCAAGCCTAATGAGAAATTTCACTGTCTTGAGATTTAATAGGGACAGCTATTTTGAGGAATATCAACAGAGATCATGCAATTTACTGTGTTAATGTTTGTATAGCACCATTTAATTAATACCGGTACTTAAGAGCAAAATCTGCCTAGAGCACTGGCTTTGAGCTAGTACTCTAGAGTAGAACTGGATTTCTTCTTTGACTATAGAAAAGTGCGGTGGACTTGAAAGTGTTAAGACAGTTTTAACTTAGAGCATCAATGTGAGTAGACCAGAATTAGTCGTTCTGTTTTTGCTTTGATTTTGAGTCAGTCTTTTACTATATAGCCCTGACTGGCCAAACACAGAGATTCTTGCTTCTGTCTTCAAAGTACTGGAATTATAAGCGTGCACCACCACCACAGGCCCAGTTATTCTCTTTACATATAATGAATTTAATATAATGAATATACTCCTGTTTACCCTGAACTCAGTGCAAGGAAACAGTTGACTTGATTTCCTACCTAAAGCATCATAGTAGATGTGTCCTGTAATGTAACTGTTTTCAGGCACAAAATGAGTTTGACCCTTAATGTAGTTCTCTTTGCTCAGTTAGTTGCTCTCAAGGCTTATAAATTAACAAGAGATCAAAATAAAAGACTATTGATGGATCAGTGCATGTTAGGAAAATTTCAGTTTGCATGCTTTGGTAATGAGTTAATGGGGTAGCTTTAAAATTTTTAAAGATTTATTTATATTTTGGTTTGCATTTTGCTTGTATATGTGTGTGTGCATTTGGGTTAACCCTGTCTTTGTAAAGAATTCTGGAATAGGTTACTTAATGAAAATTTCTGATTTCTTCCTTGTCCCCACAGGTGTGTGATCTGTATGATGGACTTTGTTTATGGGGACCCAATTCGATTTCTGCCGTGCATGCACATCTATCACCTGGACTGTATAGATGACTGGTTGATGAGATCCTTCACGTGCCCCTCCTGCATGGAGCCAGTTGATGCAGCACTGCTTTCATCCTATGAGACTAATTGAGCCAGGGTCTCTCGTCTGACTTCAAGTGAACCATCACTTTTGGTGGTTTTGATCTTTTGTCACTGAGCCCAAAGAGCCAGGGATTAGGAATTAAGATCATGCACAAAAGTTTCCTAAAAATTCCTGGATGGCTGCAGATGTTGAGGAAAGTATGTGATATTTTAGAAACTTACGGGGGAAAGTAGGATGGATCGTATTTTTATGTAAAGCCTTGACCCAGTGTTTATAATTGTTATTAGACCTTGTTCTTGCTCCACTACATAGGAATTGTGTAAAGTGTAACAGCAATTGTACATGTTTAAATTGTGTGTGTTGAAGATTAGGAAAAAGATAGTTGTTATTTTTCCTAAATGAGATAAGTTTGTTCTCCCTTCCATCCAAATTCTTTTCTGAAGAGTTACTGGCATTTGGGTCAAGGTTTTATTAAAAGCTACATTTTATAACACTGGCACAAAAAAAAGTAGTTTTAAGCTTGTTTGCACAGTTCTTTTTTTCCATTGGAAATGGAATTCATTGCCTTAGGTCTTTTTAAATAGTGTATTATTATCGTTGGGGCTGGCTCTATGCTTGAAAACCAGTTTATTTATAACCTGTTGTAAGTGCTATATTCTGTTTGCAGTTAGGAAATGCAGAATTCAAAGTGATCTCCTAGCTTGTCAGCAAACTGAGATGCACTATCCCTTTTCTATTAAAAATGAGCTGATGTGTCAGGAAACCAACGCAAGCAAAGTGGATTTGATATCCCCTTCCTTGTGTGTCTTATCTTATTGTTTTGGTTGTTTATATGGTAATAATTGAAATTCAAGTTGAAATTTAAATATTAATATTTCTGATTTGTTGAGCTTTGAACTATGCCACCATGCTTATGTAAAAATGAAGGTGGCACCATGGTGAAACCTAACAAGAAGTAGTGTTTCAGCTCTTATCAGTTGTGATTCTCTTTCCTGTGACCTCTTTCTGGGCTATCTGGAACCATAGCAAAAGGATACTGCATCTCTTGTTACTGTAGTGCCGAGGTTATTGAAGTTACAGAAACATATCCAGTCTGTTTCTTAGAAAGGTGTCTGTTAAGTCTTGCTAGGTGACTGACAAGAAAAGTAAATGTGTTTCATGTTTTGCACACCAATGCAGCAGGATTTGTATAACCATATGACTTCATAGTTGTGATCTCAAAGGAACTTCTTCCCTTTTTCTTGCAATTAATGTAAGAATACTCTAAGTCTCTAAACTTCTGAAATGTTAGAGGTAGAGATGGTCTAGTAAAGATGTAATGTTTATCTTATCCATTTAGCATGTGTTTATTTCTCCTTCTGTTCTCAAGGTGATTTGTTCCTTCAGCTCAGTGATACCATAGTCAAAAATGATGAGCAGCAGTGCTCTCCACCTAACAAATCAAATGATTCTTTTATATTGTGTTGAGTATTTAACACTTTTTTACATTGAAAAGGTTCTTGAAGGTTCTTCATAATTGCATCATAGAAGAAACTGTGTCATAAGTAGTCAATTGACATCCAGCTGAAGCATTCATATGTTGCTTAATTTCCCGACAAACCCCATGATGGAAAGACTTAAAAATGAACTTGGAAAATACTGAAATTAGATTTATCAGGTTCTGTTAAATTGTTACATATGTCTTGCTTAATTTCTGTTTATTAATTTATATCCACCCAATTATAAAGTAAATTTGGAGGAAACAGCTGAAGTTGTGCTATATTTTCAGTGATCATTCTTTTTAACCCTTATTTTCTAATTATACACATTTGTGTCATCAAGTATTATAGTCAGACTTTTTTCCTAGCTTCTCAGAGTTAGTAAATGAACTTTTCCCAGTTGTCTTTCATGATGCAGTCTTAGGTTGAAAAAAACAAAAACAAACTGCCACCTCTGGTGCTCTTGGGCCATCCTCTCTTTAACTTCATTTCTGCACATTCCTTGTTAAGAACCATCAATTTTGCAGTCTACTAAATTGTTAAACTTTATAATATAGCCATGAAGGGCCTAAAGTTCAGACTAGTTACATGTTTCCCAGAATATCTAATTTAAAAAAAAAATTACACGTAAGTATAAACTACTTTTAAGTTTATGTATATTTTTTTGAGAAATCTCCCCCCCCCCTCCAATTTTTTTTTCTTTGCTTTGCTTTACCAAAATGGGTTTTTGTTCTGTATTTCTGTGTGTGTCAGGCAAAATAGGCAGGTCAGCTTAGGGTCAGCCTTTATATAATTTTCAGGCTTCATCCCGAATCATTTTCTTTATATATCAGTTTAAAGCTTAGAGAAATAGTTTTTATTGCTTTGTATTTTCTACCATCTAATCACATGCGTAGCAACTGGATAGCTTTGAAGCTTCCTAACTAAGTAGGTGTAACTGTCTAGAAATGGGCAAGCTATGTTCCATCTTGGCTACAGGACTTGAAATGTCTGGGAAGCCTAACCAGAAAATGGGGGAGGGGAACTTACACAAGTAAAATGCTTGGATATATTTTAAGTTTTGTTTCCATTCTTACAAGTCCACTCTTCAGTTGGTACTGGAAGACTTACCCCACCCCTGTGTGTCTGTGTTATCTCACAGAGCATAGGACCTTAAGGCTCTTTACATAAAGTTCCTTATTAGGGAAAAGGCATCTTTAAATTTTTATTTCTGTGTATCGATATTTTGCCTGCATGTATGTCTGTTGTAACACCTTTGTTCCTGGTGCCTGTGGAGGCCAGAAGAGGGTGTTGGATCCCTCGGAACTGGAGTTACAGACAGTTGTGAGCCTCTATATGCGTGCTGGGAGTTGAGTCCTCTGGGAGAGCAGCCAGTACTAAGCCATCTCACCAGCCCCATAAAGAAGCATTTTAAAAAAACAGCTTGTTAAGCCAGAGCTACCTGTGGTCTTGACTGAAAGTGGTAAGGAGGAAAGAAGGTGAGTTTCTTAGATGGGCAGAACACCTCCCTACCTCACTAGAGGCCCTGAGTTCAACCCCAGGACCAACCACAACAAAAAGTAGTCTAGTTACCTAGGGAAAAAAACAATGGTACAGTCTGTCCTAGTGTTGCAGTATAGTCCAGGTAGGTTTGTGGCAATCCTCCTGTCTTGGCTTCCTCAGCACTGGGATTTGGGTATCAGCTACCATTTATAGCAGTAGCAATCATTTCTTAGTCACCTGCTTGCACCTGAATGCAGATGTATCTTAACCAAAACAATAAACTCAATTAACCTTTAGTTATGCACACAAGGAAAGTTGGCTTTTTACCTAATAACTCTGAAGTAATATTAAATTTACTTACTTGAATTTAATTATCTACTCTTAGGGGTTGGAGGAAAGAAACAGCAAAAAAAACAACAACAACAAAAAAAAAAACAATATGTGGTCCCTGTTCTGTTTATCTCAAGACTCTTAGGTACTAATTTTATGTTTAAAATACAAATTGCATTGTACCAGTCACTGATGGACCCACATGATATTTACCAGAGCAGTATCAAAAGTGGTTGTCACTGCTTTTCAGAGGCCTAAATATTTGGTACGGTAGCACATGCTTGTGACCTCAGTAATTGGGAGGTAAAGGCAAGAGGGTCAGGTCAGTGTGTAGGGCCTGAATTTAACAACACAGACTCTCAGCCCTTTAGTTGCAGAGGGAAAATAATACTTATCCTCGGGCTGGAGAGATGGCTCAGAGGTTAAGAGCATTGTCTGCTCTTCCAAAGGTCCTGAGTTCAATTCCCGGCAACCACATAGTGGCTCACAACCATCTGTAATGGGGTCTGGTGCCCTCTTCTGGCCTGCAGGCATACGCACAGACAGAATATTGTATACATAATAAATAAATAAATATTTTAAAAAAATAATAATACTTATCCTCTGAACCAAACTACACCCGTTTGTTTTTACTCTATGGCTAATTCTTCTTTTAACTTATTTATTGATGTATTTGAGTGCTCTCTGTATATACACCTACAAAACTCACAGCCTTTTCAGGCAGCCTATTTTTGTTGTTGTTCGACACAGGGTTTCTCTGTAGCTTTGGAGCCTGTCCTGGAACTAGCTCTTGTAGACCAGGCTGGCCTCGAACTCACAGAGATCCGCCTGCCTCTGCCTCCCAAGTGCTGGGATTGAAGGTGTGTGCTGCCTCCGCCAACCCCACACCACCACTACCACCACCACCGTGAGCCGTCAGTATTCTTAACCACTGAGCCATCTCTCCACATTAACCAATTCTTTGTGTTTTTATCTCTTCCTTATCAGAATAATGATACTTCTTTTGTAAATAAGAGGAACTTTAAGGAATCTGAGCATTATTTTTTATTTTTTTTTCCTTTTAAACACCGCTTGGCCCATTTCTATCTAGCCTCTTCTAGGCTAGCTCTCGCACCTGGACTAGCCCATTTCTAATAATCTGCTGTAGCCCACGAGCTGGCTTACCAGGAATGATCTTAACCTGCCTCTGTCTGGAGTGTGAGAATCATGGCGACTCACTGACTCAGCTTCTTTCTCCCAGCTTTCTGATAGGGATGGAGGTCTCTTAAAGAATTTGAAGCCAGACACAGGGGCACTTGGAAACTAAAGGCAGTTCTAGGTCAGCCAACTGCTAACAAGGATTAGGAGGTGGCAAGAAGGAACAGCAGCGAATCTCTTGAATTTACCGTTTTCTCATGAGCCCAGTTTCTTAGCCAGGGCCTCAGGAACTTGAGTGTGCATCAGATTTACCTGGAAGACTTTCTGGGCCTTAAGCCTACAATTTCTAGGTCTGTGAATTTCCTTAAGTTCACAGATGATGCCAATAGTGGTCAGAAACTTATACTTTGAACTTCTTGCCTGAGTGATAGACATTGAGCCAGGCTAAATTTTGTGCCTCCCTGCATTTTGTGTACTGGAGTTAGAAGACACCCTTTGTGCCACTTGTCATAAACTGTTTAGGATAGGAACCCTGGAGTGCCATGCACCTTTCATGTACAAAAGCCACTTAAGGGGCTGGAGAGATGGCTCAGCGGTTAAGAGCATTGCCTGCTCTTCCAAAGGTCATGAGTTCAATTCCCAGCAACCACATGGTGGCTCACAACCATCTGTAATGAGGTTTGGTACCCTCTTCTTGCAGACACACACACACAGAATATTGTATGCATAATAAATAAATTTTTTAAAAAAGCCACTTAAGAATGCTAAATACAGAAGCAAAGCCAAAAATTGTAGTAGCCTTAATGGTCTTCTCTTAGGGAACTGTGCTGTGTGGCTTATTTACATAATTTTGATCCTTGGTAACATTAGGAGACACTTGGAAGGCACGTGGAGGGCAGAGGATAACTTTGGGAATCAGTTCTCTTCACTGTGGATGCCAAGTATCAAACGCAGGTGGTCAGGCCTGCATGTCAAACTGAACATTGAACTATTTTGTTGGCCCCTGAGGACTTTTTTTCTTTAATATATTCTGACCTGTGGATCATTTGAACTGGTAGGTGTTATGTGTTTGCTTAAGCAAGCATGCCTAGTATTTTTTTTTTTTTTTTTTTTTTAAATATTTATTTATTTATTATGTATACAGTATTCTATCTGTGTGTATGCCTGCAGGCCAGAAGAGGGCACCAGACCTCATTACAGATGGTTGTGAGCCACCATGTGGTTGCTGGGAATTGAACTCAGGACCTTTGGAAGAGCAGGCAGTGCTCTTAACCACTGAGCCATCTCTCCAGCCCCCCCTAGTATTTGTTTTAACAACGAAAACGGGTGCCCAGTGAGCAGGTAGTAGCCTGGTAGTTTCACACTGGTTCAGTCTGGGCCCAGTGGTGCACAGAAGTCAGCCTCTGAGTTTGAGGTCAGCCAAGGCTATGTAGTGAGATCCTGTCTCCGAATGAACAAAAAACACTGGGTCAGTCTTATTCTTTAGCCCAGGATTGCCTTGTACTCCTGAGCTATCCTACTTTAGCCTCCCAAATGCTGGAATTATAGGCAGGAGGCTACCATACCCAACTAAAAAACAATTATAATTGGGACCCAGAGAGAGCGCGAGCAGCTGTTTATTTAGCATATATACACATATATGTACTTATATATTACTATATATATTAAATTATTAATAGTTTAAATAATATATATGTTAAATTTCCAGCATTCACTTCAGTCAGCTCACTGTTTCTGTAACTCCAGCTCCACGGTATCTAATGTCTTCCTACATGTACTCGTGCAAGCCAACACAAGTACACAATAAAAGTGACGTCAAAATTTTATTAATCTTTGTGTGTGTGTGTGTGTGCATGCACACACACATGAGTATTTGCTGGTAGAACCATCAGATACCCCTGGAGCTGGATCGACCTGAAGATGGTAGTGGGCCACATAACATGGCTGCTGGGAACTAAACTCTGGAAAAGCAGGAAGTGCTCTTAAACCTCTGAACTATCTCCCTAGCCCTAAAAATTAATTCTCTTAAGGTTTGACTGTCTAGCAATATATACATCCCTTACTGTTCCTATTTCCTACTGTAAACCGTCTCTAGCATATGTTGTAGCCTTGCCTTCCCAACTGTACAGGTGAATCTGAATTATCTGCCCAGATGGGGATCAGTTTCCTCCATCATGCCTCAATGACTTTCATGAACAAGTATGTGTGTGTGTAATTTATAGGTCAGAATCTTTTTTTTTCCTTTTTTTTGAGCTCCAAGGATCCACCTCCCTTGCTTCCATGGTGCTCAATTACAGATGTGTACTTGTGTGTCTAG